TCATTGGAATTATGCAACATCAGTCGAAATGATTGATGCGAGAAGACTGATTCCAGCTGGTTCTGATCACCATAAAGAGCCGAAAGAAGTTAGACGTAAGTTGACCAAGAGTCTTGGCGCCTATAGCGAGTAGTGGTGGCTGACGAGAGCGAGAGAGATGGAGAAGGTATCAGTGTTGGGTAAAACTCGGCAACTATTTAGGATTATTAAGGATACCTGCAAGAGGAAGACTATGGTGAGTGGAACCACCACCGAAAAGAATGGGAAGTTGATAACCTGCCAGGACAGGCGGCTAGAAGGGTGCGCAGAACACTTTTAGGCACAGTTCAACTGGCCTTCGGTAATGGTTGAGTAACCTGACACCCAGCCGGAACCTGCATGCGATGTATATGTCAGTCCTCTAATCTAACTCTCCTTGAAGTTGAGGAAGCTGTATCGAATCTGAAACGATGCAAAGTAGCAGGACCTGACTGTTTTCCACCTGAAGTTTTCAATGATGGAGGTATGAAATTGCTAATTAAAGTGATAGAGGTATTAGGTAGTGTATGGAAATCAGAGGTAGTGACGTCAGATTGGTCTACTTCTCTGATCATTTCAGTGCAGAAGGTGGGAAATAAATCCCCTAAGACAGCCACAGTGGGATTAGTTTCATTCGTATTTCGTCGAAGATCATAAGGTCCATGTTTGTCCGAGGCGTAACTGAAGCTTTAAAACAGCAAACTCGGGAAAACCAGGTGGGTTTTAAGTGGACTTGAAGAAGGGTGCATCGATTATACCTTCACCCTCCTACAGGACCTGAAACATACGGATATTGATCGCCTGCCAACACTTGCCATATTTTCTGACCTGATGGTTGCATTTGACTCTGCCGACCGTGAGGTGTCGCGGCAATGTATGACTGTGAAGGCAGTATGAAGCAAGTACGTAACGCCAATCAAAGGTCTGTACTCGAACTCACGCAACCGTGAAAGAGCCCGTAGGGAGTTGTCATGTGAATTGACGCTGTTCCTACTGAACCTGGCTATAGACGTACGAATGAATATAACCCTAGGTACATCTGAATTCCTAGGGATTGATCTACTGCCTGGAGGCCATTTCGTTTATTTAGAGTATGCAGACGATAATTTCTTACTAGGTGAAGACGCCGACCAAATGCATGATCTAGACGCGTTGAGCAGAAATCTGAGTAAACTCAACATGCGCTCAGCACCTGTCAAATGTTAGATGATGCTCCAGGACTCGTGTGTCTTAAGTACTCACAGTTGAATGATAGGAAGTGAAGTGGTGGAACATGTCGACCACTTCACTTACTTGAGGAGTTGCATCATTCCAAACGAAGAGTATCAGGCAAGTCGATTGAGGATGTTGTGAACTTTCTTCAACTGAGATGGCTTGGACATGTACTGCGCATGCTGAGCTACCGCCTACCTCGATGTGCCACGTTAATGGAAGTTGGATTAGGTTAGAGAAACGCTCGAGGTGGCTAGACCGAGACGTGGCACTAGTCCATGAAGTCCCTGACTATTGGTCTGAGTCGTATGGGGGAGATGTAGACTCCTTGGAAGGTGACTTCGAGATGATAGTAATCAGTGGTTGAGAGCCCTTGGTGACATGCCTGAAAATCAGTCGCAACGGCGCAGATGTATTCACTCTTTGGAGTCTTCTAAAGCTTGAATATACACACTAACCTTTATCTTTAAATTGTTTATTCTTTACTGTGACACAACACTGTCTACTTTGACATCACTCTAATTCTGTCCACCTGTTCTTTGCACACTGCTGTGAAGTGTAAAAACTTGAAACAATGCACTTGTGTGCAAAGTTCTACGCTGATTTTCTCTGTCTTTCTATCTAGGACATGGGAGTAGTAGGACAAACAACATAACTGGGTTAAAGGAGAAAAGTTTTGCTTTTGTTAATCAGATCAATACTTTCCATATTCCATAGGAAGTACGCAAAATCTATTCCACAGATGTCGAAAACTCTACTACAACTCATACAAAAGCATAGCAGACGATGGAGTCTTAAATACCAAGTATAAAATGTGAAACTTCTCTGTTTATGAGTAGTAGATTTTTTGCAATACGTAAATGGGACTATGCTAATTGAATTATCTGAATAAATCTAGCATAAAGTTCGTTACATCAAGTTGTTTGACGTAAAAAATGGACACAAACATAAGGAGGCGGTTTGAAAATAGAATCTTAACCCATGACTAGTGTGGATTGAGTGTGGCCTTTGGATTAGCAGCTATTTGGACAGATATGTAACAAAACTTAGCTGAATATTGACTTCTGTTCAAATAATCGACGTTCATATACAGCCTTTTTGTCTTTGCTCTTGTGTTTAAGCTGTTTGACTAATCTTTAGTCAATTCAATGATGAACAAACTACTTTTACAATTGTTTAGTCTGCGTAAACTAAGACGGAAAATACGAGATGACCTTTACGCTTTGAGAGACTTTGAGCAGCTAATTAGGAGAATTTCGTACAAACAAAATTATGTTTTGGAATAAAGCAAATATGTTATTATTACCATTATTATAATAACCCACGTCATTAACTAATGCTACTTATCAGAGAAGTGACATATTAACAGTGTTTTTATGCCTTAGCCTTACATGTATGCACAACTTTGTGGGCTACAGCACTAGTGGCTAGTAGCATAGGCAGATGGAAATGCACTTTACTTTCAGATATGGATGGTTTAAATTGAACAATTAAGCTCGCTACGTACTTAGAACTGCATGCAGGAAATGCAAACACAAGTATACACAAATACAAACGCACAACACAATCAGAAAGATTCCAATTAAGCTGAGGTAGATTTAAACTGTTTCACCAACATAGTAACTCTGTAAATCTATCTTGAGGCCAAAAGGCCATCTGAAGGTCATCTGATTTGGGTTATGGACTCAGTTGGAAACTTCAAATGAATCTTAAAGCCTCAAAGAAATAGCAAAACACAAAGATGTATACAGCTCCCAGTAAACGCTTTCAATAGTAAGACCAACGAAAGGTATATATTTCCAATATCAAGTGAATCTTAAACTAAAAAGGTTGGTATGTAAAATGACTTATACAAGTACAACAATAAACTAAATGAAGGGAACGGATGGACGATTCGGCTTTGAATGCTTAGGCTTACTGGCTTGTTTAATATACATTCAGTTGATATTTTTTGGTGAATTAGTGGTTTGTCATTCGAATACTTGACAAGTCGATTTCTGGTGGTTGCACTATCTAAGATGGGAGGTTTAAGCGTGATAATCGCAGCATATTATTGTTCATAACGAAACATGTGGTCAGATACGAGAATGGATTTAAGTAGGATAATATATAAACTTTAGAAAAGCAAAGGATTTTTAAAAGCCTATCCACTCGAATCAATTAGTAATCAACAAGGATATTGACGGGAACTCAATATATCGGTGAAGAAGTGACACACTAAAATCGCAAAAGTTTAACGAAACATATAGTCGATATATGTAAGCAGGAAGTGACAGTAAAATTACACTAACTAATGATCCCCAGGTTAATCAGGACAAATTAATGAATTAATCGTTACTACTTATCTTCTTTTTGAAGTAGATTGTAAGGAAGTCTAGATGGAAGTGGGAGCTCTGTGAGTAAACTATCCAACCCAGAAAATGCTAAAACATCACCAGAAACTATTCTATCCTACTAAATTAATTTCAATTTTATTGACTGTAGCCAGTTTGGATTAGCTTTTCAGATACTTCCCAGTTCTTGTTTGATACTTGTAGACAACCGTCCCTATACTAGGCAGAACTGTTCTACCTCCATCAGCAGATGGGCTCCCATGCGAATGTTTCGATACTGCCCTATTGCTTTTTATGTTGTAATCTGCTTGATGTTTAGCAGTGGAAGCCAGGAAACGTATTCTGTCCCATTTGGGATTCGTTGGCTGGATATACCTGAGCACACTTAGTGGGTATCGCTTTGGTGGTTGAAGCGGTAGGTACTGGGCTCGTCTCAGTGGAAACATCATTTATTAGGGTGCAGGTACATCCAGCTGACAAGTCCCAAATAGGACGAAACGCGTGTCTTGGATTTTAATGCTAGCCAATAAGAAAATTAATTTCCAATTTTCCCCACAAAAACTTACAGTTTGATATCTTACCACTTTTGGTTTGAAAGTTATATCGTTTTTTTAACCGGACACTCCGATATTACTGTCCATAAAATTAGCACAGCCCATCAATCATAGCCAAAAGTTAGTTCTACAAAGTGTGTGTCCTCATCTTGGGCAATCACTATCTAATTCCATTATATAAGTTTGAATATAATTCCAGCGTGTTTAGGAAGTCGAAAACAAGATTTTCCTGGACGTTTCGCCATGAATACTACAGCTTCTTCAGAGAAGTATTCGGATTTTTATTCCACATCAAAATATATACTGTAAAATGGTTCATGTTGGAATTTTTGTCTTTACACCATTGGTTAGCTGATTTGTTGTTCAAACTGATTGTTTCCAAGTAGTCGCAACTTCTTTCAGGACATTCGTAACAACCATGGCCTGGATATTTACGATTTAATTTTGTCTGCATTTCAGTGAACACCAATGTTCCCAAGAAAAACCGGTCTTAAGAAACCAACCTACCAAATATGACATTATTTGAAGAAATCGCACCCCAATAAACTCATAGGCAAGAATATATGTTCAGGCTAAATAAAAATCGGTTAACAAATATGCACTAAAGACCAGTAACATACAAATGACAATCCACTTAAAACTTTATTTACTGAAATACAGTCACATAAACTGTGTGAAGACTGCTACTACTAAATGATTGATGAAGTTGAAGTGAGTGGTTTTAAACATGTAACCCAACGGTCTAGAAATAACAAACATTAATCGCAAAGAGTAGTACAATATATCTCGAAAACGGGGTGACGACAACTGATGATAACTGAGAACTCATAGTGGCTTTATACGTGAGTAACAATAATTTAAAAGCCATCGTACGACTACTCACCTGATTTTGTATTAAGTAGACGCTTACTGGCTGAACCATAACTGTTCGGAATATGTGAGTCAATAGTGTGTGACATTGAAAACCCATCATTCCCATAGTTTTTATTGGGACGAGCTCCTCTGAAATGAAATTAACATTAGTGAAAAGAAATATGAAGAGTTTTGTGTGATAAACTACAACTTTCGTGCTGAACGAATGATCAGTAGCACAACTACCAGTTAACTAGGAAGAAATCACTATTTTAAGCAGGAAAAGTCATAAAACCCGAGTTTGTGCATTTTTATAAAGAGAGCTACAATATGACAAGTGACAAAACATACAGGGATGACAAAATTTCGAAATAAAAGATCATTCACAGAATGTCGTTCAGTGAACTTACTTCTCGAACATACAACGTTATATCACTCAAACCTGTATATTAGGACATTGAGGGAGTGGCTATCATGATTTCCCCAAGAGTATCAAAGGCTCTAATGCAGTGGGAACCAGTCTTTTCCAGCATCAGAATCATGACAGCAAGATTCAAATCAAAAGAAAGAAAGTTACAATCGTACAATGATACGCACCTACAAGTAACGCAGATCATTGGGAGAAGGAGGAATTCCACAGACAACTGCAATCAGCACTCGACAAGACCCCACTCCAGATGGCGACATCAAAGTTCTAATGGGCAATATGAATGCCTAACTGGGAGGAGAAAACACAGGAAGAGAAATGATCGTAGGCCGAGAAGCGCTCAGTGAAATGAACGAGAATGCAGAATTGTTTGCAGAATTCTGCGCATTCAACGATCTGGTGATTGGAGGCACTGTGTTCAACCACAAGGATATTCACAAAGCGACATCGATCCCACCAGATAGACACTCTTAAAATCAGATTGACTTCATTCCAATCTCAAGAAAGTGGAGACGCGGCCTACTAGATGCAAGATCATGTCAAGAAGAGGAGCAGATGTAGGTTCACACCACTCAATGCAATGCACCTTCAAAATCAAGTTGAAAGCCTTCACACAAGTTGGTGATAGACCACAGTTCAAGCTCAACACCCAGAAACTGAAGGACAAAACTGCAAAGGACATCTTCACGTCAGCCATCAGAACAAAATCGGAGACATTGAGCAACATCCCTGAAGGATCGGGCGTGGAAGAACACTGGAACTCTTTGAAAGAGATGTGGAAAGAAACCTGCATAACCGTGTTAGGAAGGAAGAAGAAGTGGCAAGACAAGGAGTGGATCTCCACGGATACATGGAAGCTGATAGAAGAAAGGAAGATGGTGAAGCAGAAGATGGACCAGTGCAAGGATGCATAACGAAAAGACAAACCGAGTACAACCTATAAAACACTGGATAAAGAAGTGAAAAAGAGTGCACACAAAGACAAAAGACACTTCTACAACACACTGGCAAGTGAAGCAGAACAGGCTGCAGGTAGGAGAGACAGAGACCTGACATTATATCAGATAACCAGGTTACTCTCTGTTAGGGAAGAGATCAACACAGATGAAAACAATGGGAGACAGTGAAGGAAATTTAATCACCAAAGAAGGGAAACAACGGAAAGGATGAGCTGACCACTTCAAAAACCTCTTGAATCGACCACCACCTGCACTTCGTAAAGAAATACCACCAGCAGCCAAGCTACAGAACTACCAGTGAACACAAGCCCTCCGACAAAATTCGATATCCTGAACGCCATAAAACTGCTGAAATCCAGGAAAGCAGCAGGACCAGATGGATTTCCTCCAAAACCACTGAAAACAGACTCAGAAACAACAGCGGACATGCTCACACCATTGATACAGAGGGTACCTGCAGATTGGAAGAAGGGCTACCTTGTCAAACCTCCCCCAAAAAAAGGGTGACCTGTCTTTGCAAGAACTAGCGCAGAATCATGCTCCTATCCACGCCAAGCAAAATATTGGGCCGCATCATCCTGGAGAGACTAAAGGATGCTCTGGATTCAAAATTACGACTGGAACAGGCTGGATTCAGGGAGAACAAATCATGTGCGGACAAAATTGCAATGCTACGCTACACATCATCATAGAGCAGAGCATAGAATGGCAGTCAACTCTCTACCTCAACTTCATTGACCTCGAAAAAGCCTTCGACGGCGTCGACTGAGAAGTAATTTGGAGACCGCTTCAACACTACGGAGTGCCACAAATCTTTGTCAACCTCATTTAGCAGCCATATGACGACGTCACATGCCAAGTGATTGACGACGGAAAGCCCAGTGATGCCTTTGAAGTGAAGGCAGGAGTAAGACAAGGTCGCCTACTATCACCCATAATCTTCCTGATTGTAGTCGAGTGGACTGGACTGGATCACGCAGCAAACCGTGAGGAGTGAGAAGAGGGGGATACGCTGGACTGATGGAAAGACCCTAGAAGATTTGGATTTCGCTGATGATCATTTATGTCTAATGTCACAGAAACTCGAAGATCTACAAGCGAAAACCAACAAGTTGGCAGAAGAAGCAGAGCAGTGAAGACGGGACTCCAGGTGAAAGTAGAGAAGACAAAGGGGGCAGTGATGAATATACCCAACCAACAACAAGCACCAATCATCATCAACGAGAGTAATCTAAGGGAAGTAGCCTCTTTTACCCAGCTACGTAGGCAGCATCGTTTCAACTACATGCAGCACAGACGAGGATGTCAAAAGCAGGGTCGAAAAAGCAGAACAGGCCTTCATTAATGTGAAACCGGTGCGGAGATCAACTGCACTTAGCACAAAGTACAAGATCCGGATTTTCAACACTAATTCAGTCAAGTCAGTGCTTTTATGTGCTGGTTCAGAAACTTGACGCGTTACGAAAAGCATTTCCAACAAACTACATATATCCGTCAACAGCTGTTTACGCTCGATACTGAAGATCAGATGGCCAGAAACCATGAGCAACAAGGAACTCTGGCCTGGAAACGAATCAACCAAGAACCTGCCACCCAACAAAAATGCAGAAGAAAGTGGAAATGGATCGGGCATACACTGAAAATTCTATTTAGGGACATCACGCGTGAGGCCCTCGAGTGGAACCCAAATGGGGAAACGACGAGTTGGGCATCCGAGAGTGACATGTAGGAGATCGTGTGAGGAAGAAGTGAAAGCTTCTGAGCAGCCGTGGAACCAGCTTCAAAAGACTGGAGAGAAGAGAGTGAAGTGGTGACGTGCTACTGAAGCCCTACGTTCCACTAGGAACCCGAAGGACAAATAATAATAATAATAATAACAGCAACCTGGCAGATGACACCGTGCAACACCATTCCTACTTTGCCGGCTGGAATGGAAAATATCTACATACACGGGTGAAGATTGAACACAACCATGGGCAAAAGTGTCCCAGCTTCGTGGTTTACGTCATTCCGCAAAAACCATCATTAATGATTGTACAGAATACTACTACTCGCAAAACAGCAGTTATGTATTTTACATACTTAGTCACTGTATTTATAACAGGATAGTAACCTTTTTTCTGACCGGGGTATACGATAACCCGAAATGGATTGGTGTTAGGAAAGGGAAAATGATAGCAGTAATCTGTGAGAACAATTTTGGTATCTTTTTCTGGTAAGTTGGAAGCTGTGCTGAAACAAAGTAATCTCAGTTAGTTACAATCCACTAATACAGATGCTACTTCGTCTTTCATTTACCTCCTGATATTTAGGCGACCACATTATGAAAATCAAACTAGATAGTTGTCAGAGTCAAGTGCCAGAAACCTCTATTAACAACCACTATCTAGATGATATTGTTCTCTTTTTTTCAAGAAAGTTTTAACGATACTCGAAGGTTTTTAAAGTAATTATTTCGTTTCGTTTGACACTGAAAGTAGTTTTGAGTTCTATGGAGCACTTTAGACATGCTGGAAAATATTATTCAATACATGGAATGGATTGAAGGTCGTGGGTTCGATCCCTGGCGTGGTCATGGGTGCGCTTTGCTGAAGAGCCCCACACTAGGACGAAACAGCTGTCCAGTGCCCCCAGGTCTCCTATGTTCCCTCAACTGATGTTAGTCCATGATGAACACCAACGTGAAAAATCTCTAAATCCCCACAACCCCCCAAATTCAATGGATTGTAATTGCCGACTGGTGGTTTGGAAACGCTACGCATCCTATTATAAAGGCGTTAGAATAGATTTTTGTTCTATAGTTGAGATGGGTCGCAAGAAAAGACGTTGTCAGTCTTCAACATAAAATTGTGGACTGAAGGGGGAAGCTTTGTTCCACTGACATGCTGGAATCACTATAGAAGTAATATCGAGGTTAGGAGAAAGGTATCAGGCAAGAAAGAGGAGGTGATCGACTAGTTCGTAAACTATCATCGACTGATGCCACTTGTACACTTGCTGCGCATGACGAACCATCGCCTACCTCAGTGTCCCATGCTAGAGAAAGCTAGATTAGGTTCACAGAGAGTTCAAGGTGGCCAGACTAAGACGTGGCACCAGTAAATGAAGACCCTGACTACTCATATGATTCGTGTAGGGAGGTAAAAGCTAATTGGTTGGAGTCCCAAAAACCACAGGAATCAGTGGTTGAGGACTCTAGGTGACATGGGTGCAAATCAGTGACAATGCTGCAGATGTATTCACTATTTGATGTCTTCTGTAGCTTGAATGTTTTGACCAACCTTAATTTTTTAATTTGTCTACTTTGATATCAGTCCTCTCTATCTACTTGTTCTTTGCATACTACTATGAAGTGTGGTAGCTTGAATCGATGCGCCTGCGTGCGAGGTTCAACGTTAATTTTGTCTTGTTTATCTGTCCTCAACCTACGCCAGCTGTGTCACTGCCGTGATATCCGATCATGTAGTTGGGGTGGAGTATACTACGCTGTAGTTCCTTCTGTTCTGTTATATGGCTGCGAAACGGCTTTTGGCGGTAGAGTAAATGAGGTCTTAATTATTTGACCACTGTCGTCTTCGCAGCATAGGCGATGTGTGGCGGTATCACCACATCAGTAATGTAAAGGTCATGTATGGAATTTTAGGACGAAAAGGAATGCCAGTCGATAAGGTTGTAAACCTCCACATGCCGAGGTCACTGGAATGTGTTACGCATGCCTGTACAATGTCTGCCTCCTCGCACAATATTAGCTGAAGTAGGTTCAGGCTGGAGAAAGCTTACAGTTGATTAGAATAAATCATAGCATTATTCTATGAAGACCTTGACTACTGATTTTAGCCATGTAGAGGAATGCAGACTTCCTGAATGGGGTTCACCAAAATCAGTATTTGAATTCTCTGGCACATATAGTTAAGATTCGTTCTGATATCTGCAAGTGTATCCACACGTTATCGTCATCTTAATCGTCAAATTGAATTTCAGTACTCTCTCAATCTTTCTTGTTCTGTTTTAAGGACTCTTCACCACTTTGGACTCCTTTCGTTGTTATTTCTTCACCAATCACCTTAATATGATCTCGAATGGTGTGCCAATGTGAGATGTGGCAACTGGGATTATCATGACAATCTCAGGTCTTGTTTTGATTTCGTCGTCGTCACCCAAGTGGGTAGGGGCCCTGCAGAAATGATACTGTGTTTAAACAACAAATGGGAAAATTATGAAATAATGAACCTATCCAGTCAGACTAACTTTTGTTGACAATTTGGCCATTTTTATCTTCTTATTTTTATACTGCTGTTATTTCATGTGTTATAGTTCTCACATTTTACTCATGTTTATCTTAGCCTATATTAGATGGTCAGTTAGTGAAAACTTGTCATTTACCAAATTAATGAGTACATCAAACAAAATTAGTTCAAAAATGGAACAATCAAAATATACTTCGAGTTAATCATGATTACACTCAGATTAACACAACCAACCAATCAATATTACTATATTTATTTGATAAATTCCGCTTTTGATGATTATTTTGGGTATTCGGTCTGAATACATATTCCTACAAATTTCAGTGTCTTCACTGATTATTCGGGTAGGGAATCAGCTAGGAAGTAGTAGAACGTTGATGGCTGACAGTCGATACCCGTGCATCGTTGGAGACTATAGCTGTTTAGAATTATAATGTAACTCACTACTGTTAATAAGCGAAAGTTTTAATCACTACGAATATCTACAACATAGTAAAACCTGACTTTTGAGGTTAGACGACATAGTTTGCGTAAAATTAGACAGCATACTTTGGAAATCCTTGGTTTACGGGGGAAATTAAGTGTATCGCTGAGTGAATTTAAAGTTGAACCCACAAACTTATCAAATCAGTCAGTAAGTTTCTTACCGCCACAGAAATTCAAGTACCAATTACTTACCAGCATGAAAATAGAACCCACAAAGGATAAAAAACTTACCTGTGGACTACATTGACTGACTGGTGCTGCTTCCGGTGACAATTGGGTTCACGCAATGTCGGGCCCGATGTGGAATATGCCATCTTACTACCACCAGACCTTGGTCTGTCTGAACACGCATAATCATTGGCGAAAGTAATCTGGAGGTCCTGGTTCTGTTTGCAAGCTACTACCCGAATGGTATCAGCCATAGTAGCCTCAGGATCTGGTCTGAAATTACGGCGCCCATTGTGCATGACAAAACTTCTGAAAGTATTAAAAGGACGCAGGAAGATACTTCCTACTGATAACAAGGACCAGGAAGATCCAAAGTAACCTACACAGTAGCCAAGAGATAGTGTAAACGTATTACTAAACGAGCGGTTAAAAAATATAAACAAGCACTCAGTTGAAACACTGCACGAAAATGCAACTCAGTACACTACTCAAAGGGAAGCATGGAAAATCAACCAAATCAAGATAGACGGTATACAAGATGAGAAAGTTCATCAACCAAGTAAACATTTATTTGCCAAGAGTATGACTAACACTAATTTTGTGAGGGGCTAGTGGTAACTAAGAACTCATAGTTGGAGTGTCATATGGTTCAGAAACTCACAGGGGCGCCTATACACCCACATCTGATCATCCTAATCTTCATATTGCACTTCGCTACGTGCTTGACTATCCCCAATTCTCCTCTATTTGTCTTCCGTTCTTAAGACTTTCTACAACTTTTGACTGCACTACGTCTATTATCTCTCATTTTGCTTTGCTGAATCTTTATAAGCTGATATGCCGAATGTCAACTTCAAGTGTTACTCAGTTCCATATTGATACTCACCGGCCAACTGACGACAGACACCTGCAAACACCTAGGTAAATAGAATGCAAGTCAAAACACTCAACGGTGGAAAGTTTAGCGCCTAAACTATTGAACTGCAGTTCTACTGCTGACGAAAAAGGTGCACGAGGACAAAATTTAAACATTCACGTAATTTTTGAGTGAAAAGATTCTGAGGACTTATCTGCATTAGTAGTTAATGACAGAGAAGAAAAACGAGAAAACCAAAAGCAACCACGGTAATCAGCTGGAATAAAAGTTGACTGAGATGAGTCCATGTACAGACTACAATGACAATAAAAACACGAACCACCAGTGAGATTAACAGACATACTTCGAGTTGCAGTATCCGACTTACAACAGTATCACATAGGATCCCATAAAAGATCTTACTGTCCCGTAAATCTCACCATTCATGTTCAAAGTTCAGTACAATGCTTAAAACACCTGTTAGAAACCTGTCGAAGGTGACAAGATAGTAGAACTGGTGAGATCACATGGAAAATGTGAATTTTATCGGACATTACGATCTTAATCATTCCATTTTTACTGTAAGAGTAGTGTAAACATAAGTAAAACTCTAAACAAGTATGAAACCTAGATACACACGCAATATTGCTGTAAGTACGGGACATTCACTTCACACATATCAAGGTTAGTGTGCATACATGGATGATTAATTTTGGCTGAGTATACCTAGGAAAGCAACTCCTAAACAACTGGTGTTATTCGACAGGGATATAAACCACAAAATCAGCTAGGATAGGTTTCGGGGAGTCAATTTTCGTTGTGTAAGTAAACAGAAATCATATTACTTAACTGTTTCCATAATTCTGTTACAATTATCTGTATCCCCGATAGCTATATTACACAAAATGTCTCAAATGAGATGCTTCACACTTCTGAATTTTCAGCTTTATGCCAGTGGTCCAAGCAGCCTAAGCTGATACGAAATGAAACAAAAACTAAAAGGTATTCAAAACATCACAAGTTGGATTAACTGTTATCAGATGAGCAATCTGATTCGAATTTACAGATAGATGTGGTCAGACTATGAAATTCACGACATTGAAAAACGATCAATAATATGGCCAGTATCAATAGCTGGTGTTGAGTAAAAATATTAGAAACGTGTTGATACCAAATATTCGTAACCTCCAGAACCAGCTAAGAGAACCATAGTAAGTCAAAGAAGCTTTCTCGGAACGATTACTCTAGCCTTATATTAACATGAGGTTGTGGTTTCATTTGCTGTGGTTAGTGCTTATAGAGATCACAGTAAAGAACATTGACTGACTATCTGCAGACAAGCATAACCGCCACAGAAATCTGGGAATCTTTTTTCAATACATATCATACTGTAGGTTCAAATGTAAGACAGATTCATGACAATAGAGCCACGCATAAAATTGTTAGGATTCAAGAAAAGGCCGGATGTGGTAAAGTACATAGAATGATTTTAGTTCGAGAAAAACACCAACTTAGAGTATCAATCCACAGTAAAAAGGACACTAGGATGTTAGCCTGCGTTAATCCTTACAATAATTTTCTACGAAGGTCCAGTTTCTCCTTGAATGCATTCATTGAAGGAGCTGATAACACCTATTTCGGTAACACTCTAGTCACTAACCACCCTGTGGGAGAACCTGTACTCCACTCGATTATAATTCGACCCTGGCCTTTTTGGATGTTTTTTATGTCCATCCTAGGAGTAAACGAATTGAATAAATGAATACACAAACCATCATTCATAATGCAAAAGGCTAAAATCAGGTCGCCTGGTTTTCTGCGATACGATAGTTGGACAGGTCATAGCTTTGCTAATTGCTCTTCGTTAGGTGAGCAAGAAATGTCACCAATTTAGTGGCAACCCTCTGGACCAATCCTAGTTCATCAGCTCCTTCTTGAAGCATAGACTACCCACGTGGATACAGTTATAGGAATGAGGACTTACGTAAGTGGGGTGTAAGATCCTAAACACCTCATGAAAGTATATGAAAAGCCTTAGCTGCGAAAAGATTGAAGTTTGGGTTTATTTTTAAGTCGAGAATTATGATAACCCCTAAGTCTTTTTATTCTAAGACACGCGGTATTACTTGACCACTCATTGATTAGTTAGTAGGAGTCACTTCCAATGAACACTACCACTTTTACTGGAATGAATTTCCAAGCTTCCTAGTTTAGAACACTCGACAAGTTCATCATTGTCAGAGTTCCGAAATATCGTTATCATGGATGGTCCTCACATCTAGACGTCATCAGCAAATAGCAATAATGACGACTCGAGCATCTTAGGTATATCGTTAACGCAAAAAAGGAAGAAAAGTGGTTCAAAGATAATGCCCTATGGAACACTACTGGTGACAAGTTGCAACTCAAATAGGACTGCAAGCATGAACAACAGTCAGTACCAAATGTGCGAAGTCTCGTAATATAAATCCGTAAACCAAACAGTATGAAAAATGTTTACACCAGGAGTTCCATAAATATCTCCAATCCCAAGAAAAATTTTAACCAGAATAATATACCCGTCCCACGATGAGGACACTAAGCCGCTCAAGCGTAAAGGAGCTGGGATCAGCTGTTTGCTCTTGAAGGTCAACTATGTGATTCCACCAAACAAAATTCTGAAATGTCTCAGTGAAAACCTTGTACACTGCATAATGAATTCCTGCAGTGAAAATAAATTATGACGGCAGTCTACACACAATGGGAAGATCTTACTTTGCTGTGGTAATCTACCTAAACAGTTAAGACAAACTGGGAAATGCAGCAAGGTTTTTATTAGCACATGGTAAAACCACTGACAAAAAGCATTGTGCGTGTGTGTCACGATCTGCACAGGCAAATCAAGGATTTCATCATCTCGGCAACATATCACTTATCAACATCTTGAAGCCATTTCAATATATCGTGTAGAACATCAAAAAGGACAATGGACTTTGCAGCAGTCTCATGAGAAACAGAATTGTAGCGTCACACACTTCCCCAAAATCAATAGCCTAGGGTTTGACGACTTTCGACATCGATGCTGACCTTGATAGTTTAACTGGACTCGCTAAGCTGAAGGCACCCGGTCAAGCATCCTCGCCATTTGGCACGCTGTCGTGTTACATTGCACTGCTCGTATTCGACTCTGTAGCCAGTTAGTTGGAACGCATCGGCATCTCGGCCAGAACTTGCAAGTATACTATTCCATCCGACTACGCTATCGTGTTCTTCCTTGGTCTCGTATTCGTGGTATATAACAAGTTCGAATAATTAGTGATTGGTCTTTGCGTCTGTCAAGTTCGCACCAGGACAGATCTTAAAGAATGAAAGAGAAAAGAATATGGCTAATTTTGGTGCAATTTCCTCATCCAGTCTATCTCAAATAATGCACTTGAAATTGAGGGAAATGAACTTGACTACGATCAGGCATCCATAGGTTAAACTTCGTTTTCAACTGCAGATATTAAGAGATGGATAAGGTTGTGTCTGGATTGAACTGCTTTACATCCACGGATGAATCGTGGTATCAGACAGATGGATATGCGACGGATTCGATAGAATCTGTAGTCGTGCTTAGATTATGTATCAAGGCACTGGGGGAAAGAGAACTGAACGGCTCTTGGTACCATTGTACACCATGGTATCGATGCGTAGATAATATCTCTGCCATCACAGAAAAGCAGAACGTGTAATTTTCCTGCGAAACCTAAATTCGACGTCGATTTTCATAAGGGTCACGGAGGAAACAAAACCGAATGGGGTACTTTGCATTTCTTCGACTGTCTCACTCAGAGAACATTGAAAGTGAAATGTTAAAATTAGTATGCAGAGAAAATTCACTGATTTTGAAAGACGTGCATACTTTCGATGTGATTACCTGATGAAAAAAAGATACGGTAGCTCTGAGTCTGCCAAAAAGGCTAAAAGTATTGTGAAGGATCCAGAGGATTTCAAGACTGAAGTAACCCCGATAAAATGTCCATCCCCTGAAGCCTTTTGTAGCCTATATTTCAATGAGACTAACAAGGAGCAAAAAACAAATCAAGTAAGACTAGACATTGGCCACGAGTATCCGCAGTGTAGCAAGGGTACCTCTCAGCATATATGTAAAGTGTTAGTTATGTTGATATTATGGTCCGTTTAAAAATTCCAGTCCTCTGGAGAAGGCTCCAGTGAAGTTGAAACATATAACCTCAGCGGTGACACAACAGCTGTACACGCGAAACATAACATAAGGAATCAGGTGAATTCGTTTGATGAGAGTTGTAGACACTCAACAATTAGAGTGAAGAAACAATTGATATACTCCAAACGCTTACCGACAACATCAAATGAACCGAACAGAAATGACCGAACAACTGTGTAGCTACCAAACTCTCAATCGATAGTAACTTTAAAGGTCGTTGTCGGAAGCCCAACTTCCAAAACAAACAATGTTGATGACTTGTCCGTGAATAACATGTCTTCTCACACCTCAGGAACAGACACACGTCATGCATGCCTGACGCTTTTTCATTATTACTACAGACGATCAGATAACTTCACGATGACCAATCAGAAATAATTAGTCTGAACAACAAATTAGCGAACCTATGACTTTCTCACCGGAATTATTATACGTGCCATCTGTCCATACATATTATGATCTTTCACAAAGACCAGAACACTCTGCTGAAGCTCTTGCGTCCAAAGCGAAAATTCCAGCTAAATCTTATTTGATTTCTTTTATCACTGGAAAGATAATAAAACCTACTCTTTTGAAGATTCATTGAACCTTTGTGTTCGAATTCCTCCAGGGCTGCCGAAGCAAAAGATTAGTGCGTATTCAGAAGGCAACTTTACTTTGATTTCATCTCAAAACACTCAACTGCACGAACGATGCTTCTTACTCACCAGATAGAGTTCAAATACCCCTTAAATGAATATGATACCCTCTTCTTTCAAAGGTAAGGGAAACCCACTTCCCGAAGGTTTTTCTTCACTTTTTCCACCTTGATCTTGTTCTGGAGTGGGAAACGTTAGGATAATTTTTCTAAGATCTCGCCTCACTGAAGTCAAAGACCTTTGTAGCAACAAAAAATTCCCGATCAGTCTTTCGAGTGATGGATTCAAGATAATCTAGCTTCCAAATATCACAGGATCTCCTTTAAGAAACCAATACTGCTGAGTCAGTAGTGGGTTGTTATAGAATGGGTAGTCTACGACGCTACGACGACCATCCGCACCTTCCTGGATATCGCCGACATGAGATTAATGGGAAGGTGCAATTACTCCCGATCTAGGAGCAGGAGGAAGGTGGGTACTTTTACAGACAGATAAGTAGCAAGCACTATCGAGTGAAACCAAGCCTCGTTAACTAGTCCATTAGTTACTAGCCGATCCTAAGTCACGGTATATGGGGAAAGTTTTGCATACGGCCACAAACCCTACCCCGGAAAACCAATCTAACCGCTACAGTAACTTCAAAACACACACAAAACTTAAAAAATAAAAACAAACGTATTCCTAGCTTGAATCTAGGAAAAGAAGTGACGTCGGTTGGTGAAGCCAATTGCCCAATGTCTCTTCCCTTGACGAAAGCAAAAGTGAACATGGGATATGGAGTAGCTGCGCTACGCTTCAAACTGGCAACGCTGCCAAGATTACAAGAGAGACGACAAAGTGTGACATAGAAGATCTGAGAATCTGCAAAAGCAGATGGAAAAGAACTAGACCCTACAAACTGTCCAGCGCACAGTAATTAGACAATTTCATCATTGCAACAAACACGAAATTATGGAGTGGCTATCTTGATGTCTTCAAGAGTATCAAAGGCTCTAATGCAGTGGGAACCAGTCTTTTCCAGCATCAGAATCATGACAGCAAGATTCAAATCAAAAAGAAAGAAAGTTACAATCGTACAATGATACGCACCTACAAGTAACGCAGATCATTGGGAGAAGGAGGAATTCCACAGACAACTGCAATCAGCACTCGACAAGACCCCACTCCAGATGGCGACATCAAAGTTCTAATGGGCAATATGAATGCCTAACTGGGAGGAGAAAACACAGGAAGAGAAATGATCGTAGGCCGAGAAGCGCTCAGTGAAATGAACGAGAATGCAGAATTGTTTGCAGAATTCTGCGCATTCAACGATCTGGTGATTGGAGGCACTGTGTTCAACCACAAGGATATTCACAAAGCGACATCGATCCCACCAGATAGACACTCTTAAAATCAGATTGACTTCATTCCAATCTCAAGAAAGTGGAGACGCGGCCTACTAGATGCAAGATCATGTCAAGAAGAGGAGCAGATGTAGGTTCACACCACTCAATGCAATGCACCTTCAAAATCAAGTTGAAAGCCTTCACACAAGTTGGTGATAGACCACAGTTCAAGTTCAACACCCAGAAACTGAAGGACAAAACTGCAAAGGACATCTTCACGTCAGCCATCAGAACAAAATCGGAGACATTGAGCAACATCCCTGAAGGATCGGGCGTGGAAGAACACTGGAACTCTTTGAAAGAGATGTGGAAAGAAACCTGCATAACCGTGTTAGGAAGGAAGAAGAAGTGGCAAGACAAGGAGTGGATCTCCACGGATACATGGAAGCTGATAGAAGAAAGGAAGATGGTGAAGCAGAAGATGGACCAGTGCAAGGATGCATAACGAAAAGACAAACCGAGTACAACCTATAAAACACTGGATAAAGAAGTGAAAAAGAGTGCACACAAAGACAAAAGACACTTCTACAACACACTGGCAAGTGAAGCAGAACAGGCTGCAGGTAGGAGAGACAGAGACCTGACATTATATCAGATAACCAGGTTACTCTCTGTTAGGGAAGAGATCAACACAGATGAAAACAATGGGAGACAGTGAAGGAAATTTAATCACCAAAGAAGGGAAACAACGGAAAGGATGAGCTGACCACTTCAAAAACCTCTTGAATCGACCACCACCTGCACTTCGTAAAGAAATACCACCAGCAGCCAAGCTACAGAACTACCAGTGAACACAAGCCCTCCGACAAAATTCGATATCCTGAACGCCATAAAACTGCTGAAATCCAGGAAAGCAGCAGGACCAGATGGATTTCCTCCAAAACCACTGAAAACAGACTCAGAAACAACAGCGGACATGCTCACACCATTGATACAGAGGGTTTGGAAGGAAGGAAAGGTACCTGCAGATTGGAAGAAGGGCTACCTTGTCAAACCTCCCCCCAAAAAAGGGTGACCTGTCTTTGCAAGAACTAGCGCAGAATCATGCTCCTATCCACGCCAAGCAAAATATTGGGCCGCATCATCCTGGAGAGACTAAAGGATGCTCTGGATTCAAAATTACGACTGGAACAGGCTGGATTCAGGGAGAACAAATCATGTGCGGACAAAATTGCAATGCTACGCTACACATCATCATAGAGCAGAGCATAGAATGGCAGTCAACTCTCTACCTCAACTTCATTGACCTCGAAAAAGCCTTCGACGGCGTCGACTGAGAAGTAATTTGGAGACTGCTTCAACACTACGGAGTGCCACAAATCTTTGTCAACCTCATTTAGCAGCCATATGACGACGTCACATGCCAAGTGATTGACGACGGAAAGCCCAGTGATGCCTTTGAAGTG